GCACTAGAAATCCAGGACATACCTCTTGAAGCCAGTCACTAGTGATCATATGTTGATTCATATCAAAAGGGTGTTTGCATATATTATAGTCATTTCAATGGTTGAAGTCATGAGTTAATTGAAGCTAGACCACCATCATGGAAAACCTGGAAGCACTAGACGGTCGTACCTTCATTAAAAATGTTTCTAAACAAAGTTCCAACTACTACTTTAAATATATATACAACTTTTCCTTGAACAGTTATATCATTTTCAATGAAAATCATTATTAAAAAAACCCTATTAGTAACTTATTCTATGAAAGGTGGATTTCTCATGAAAAATGAGTTTCAAAAAAATAAAATAAATTAATAAATAAAACATACTACTGATTATACTACTGATATATTTATATAAATTATTTATTTATGCAAAATTTACATAAGATCTCTTTATCATTATCACATAGTTTATGATGATTACATAATCATATTTAAGTTAATTAATCATTTATATACAGTAACTATTTCACAATTAAATAGAACTGTATACCTTCATTATTATTATAATATCAAATTGTATTATATAGTAAAGTATTATTTATTATAACAGATGGAAAGATAAATATTAGCATTATTTCTTTTTAAATCCTAATTAAAAATAACCTAAACAGTTGTTTGAAGTTGATGAATTGATAATTAAGTAGGATAGAGAAATAATAGAAATCTGATTGTAATAAGTTTAAACTTCTTTTTTTCCAAAGTGAAACCATATGGTTAATATATGACATAAGAAAATACGGAATTGTATACAAAGTCTAATAATATAAATGAAAACAAAATTGTAAATAAGTTTAATAGTGGAATTTATGAGTCAATTGAAGCGAAGATCATCATGGAAAGCCTGGAAGCATTGGGCGGCTGTTTCGTCCTGGCATGGAACTCTTCAGCAGCAGGCATACACGATACCGCCCCGCGAGATTCGAACTCAGGACTTCTCGGTTTCGTGAGTGAGTACTTAACCTCTAGACCATTGATCTGGCATCCAACGGTGTTAATATTTAACTACAACTAATCCATGAAGTTACGCCACTGTCCACTAATGTCTTCAGTGAGGTATTATCTTACAACAGATCCGACTGAACTCCAGGAAATACCTCTTGGAGACCATTACTGGTGAGCATATGACGATTATAATTAGAGAGGGGTTTTGTGGATATTATAGTAATTTTAATAGTCGAATTCATGAGTCGATTGAAGCCAGATCATCATGGAGAATCTCGAAGCATTAGACGGCTATTTCATCCTAGTATGGGAGGTTAAGCGCTCGCAAGCTAGACTGACAAGTTTTCGGTTCGAATCTCGCGAGGCAGGATCGTGGATGCGCAATAATGAGAAGTCTCATACTATGGTGAAATGGCCGTCCAGTGCTTCCACATTCTCCGTGATGATCTAGCTTCAAATGATTCATGAATTCGACTATTAAAATTACTATAATATCCTCAGAACCCCTCTTTGATTAAAATTGTAAATAACTTGAATATATTTGAAGTAGAGTTTACAACTATCATCACTGATTTTTACATATTTCAAACTAAATAAATAATCAAAGGACATTGATGAAATGTCTTGCATGTTAAGTAAGATATAAAAACTTAATACGAAATTTAAAATTAATTGTCTATTATTGTAAACCTATTATTTAGAAGATTATCACTGTTGAGTGTTCGGATGATCGTGATGCCACACGTTTACTTCGATTGTGAAATATAAGATATGGTCGACATTTATGAAGCCATTCTGACCTGCCTTTAACTTATGGTTCAATCATATGTCGATAATATTCCAAAAATATTTATGAGTTAATGCCTATGAGCCTCGTAGAGCTTTACTAATCAATGAGTTTATCCTAGCACTGTTTTACGAAGGAAATTGATAGTAATTTAGTAGTTTAGGTTAATAACGTCATAAATGAATATTCGCTAGAAATATTGTGACAACCATAAATAAGTTAACTGTTCATTTCTATTGTTTGTAGCTTTATTATGGAAAATATCTCACTGAACTTAATTGAAAGCAGTTGAGTCGTTCCCAGTTTAGGGGTTGTGGAGATTGTTAAGTTTTTGATTGAGATCAAGAACTGATTGATGTTAGAGTGTCGCTGAAAACCTGGAAGCAGTGGACTGCCGTTTCGTCTTATTGTGAGACTCCTCAGCAGTGCACATCCACGATCCCGCTCGCGGGATTCGAACCCAGGGCCTTCAGTCTCGCGCGCGAACGCTTAACCTACTGGACCACTGAGCTGGCATCCAATGGTGTTAATGTCTAACCTCAAACAATCCATGAAGTTGCGTGACCATCTTCCATTGTACAGGTACGAATCTCATGTGACATTGAGAAATATTATCCAATCCTGAAACAGTTCGTATAGAGTAAAAATATACAAAACCAAAGAAGTAAAATGGATACACTTCTTTTACATGGTTCAGAAATTTGTCGAGGTTAGAAAAGGGTTCAGAGGTTCTAAATTGTAATGCATACGGTAGGAGAACCCATCCATATGGCTCCATAATATTCGGTCGCAAAAACTCTTTCAGCCTCGATCACAAGCTTAGATATTATTTGTGTGCACTCCGGTTGTCGGATCCACAAAATGCCGCTTGTGGACAACGATACGATGCATATAACCAAGTCTATGTATGCATTTGTACGCTTTCCAATCATCCGTATATATTGTAGTACCCGGCTGCAGCCAGTGTTACTGGTGCTTTTATTATCCAGTTCGCAATTCGCCTTAATCTCAATCTGGATCAAGCGATAAAACCCTATTCTAGCAGACTTCTCCCTCCAACACATATTACATCGAGAGAACATCATAACGATAGTCTGAACAAGGTTCATAGGTCATGTGATCATCACAATCACAAATAAAGGAACTTCTTAGTAGTCCCAGTCATTGTAGTCGTTTAATTATCTTGTTTCCTCTACAATCCACTATGAACCGATCGTAGGTGAACATTAGGTAGTGAAATTGGCACTATGACCTTGAAATCCCTCAAACGTTTCTGATTGGCTCATTCATAAATTATAGTCTAGCTGGAATTTTAAATAAATGAATGATTAAAATTTTTCCTCTAGAAAGTCTTTCATTACATTTTCGACATAACAAATGAAATCGTGAAATCAATTAATTTTTTTTTCTAAAAATCCATATATAATGAAATATAAGTTTCATTTCCTTAATCTATTCAACAATTCATTCAATGTGTTGCTTATCATGAATGGCAAAACTTATTTCTAGCGATGGCTCAATTAAGAAAGTTCGAATAAATGTAATTGTTTTCAAAGGCTGTTTTTGTTGACAATTAATATCTTTTGTATGTATGTATGTACGTATGTGTGAGTGTAGGATTTATTTAAGAAGTGAGCTAAACAACAGCTGATTGTCTGTTGTGACTTCATTTAAAATTAAACTCTGCTTAAATCTCTCCTAATTTCTTTTAATGGTATATATATATATATATATATATATATATATATATATATATATATATATATATATATATATATATATATATATATATATATATATATATATATAATGAGATGAAACACATCAAGACAATTTTCATTCTGAATTGGCTTAGCTTACTGAAAACTGATACAATAGAATGACAAGGTAAAACATTTATAGAAGTAAATACGTATGGTTTCAGAAAAAAGTTTTCAGTCTTACTTGACCATTTGTTTAACTGTTTAAATTAATTTAAACCATTAAACGAGATATTTATCATTTGTTCATCTAGTGATTGATTTCAAAATGATTTCCTTAGGTCCCGATAAACCAACTGACTAAGTAGAAAAAGAATTCATCACGACTGATATCACTTTTAAGGCAAATGATGAATTCAAAAACTACATAATTAATTAGCAAAGATGGATAGTGGTTAGCAGTGGAATCCAGGACGCGCGTTTCGTCCTATTTCGGACTCGTCAGATAGATGTACCTGCATCGCAGAATTGATGTTCACTCTGGAACTCTAACCCAGTACCGTTCGCTTGAAACACCATCGCGTTATCCACTTAGTTATTGAGCCCTGAGAGCCACTTGCTTGTGCAATGGGGTGAAGTTTCAATTCACTCTCTTTTTCGTGATTCTGTCTGTGACATTTTGTAAAAACAATTCTCTTTTTTTCCATTTTCAATATACAGGAAGTATATAAATAGAGAAAATGTCCATTAGTCAATATGCATTGACTTGTTTAGTTAAATTGATTCATCTTTTAAACAACTATCCATTTCCAATTCCATATCATTCGAAGAAATAATGAATAAATTCTCATAGTTTTATGATCATTCTAGGTTAACCTATACACGATTGCTAGTGACGGAAGTTTGTTCCCAACCAGAATTTTCCCCTATTATTCTTGTAGGTATTTGTTATGTCCCGATAAGCATAATGAATAGTAACTTTCGGGATCCATTTATGGACCAATACTATGCGTATATTTTTATTGTATAATTGTTAAATAGCTAAACTATTCATATTTATACCCTTCTTATTATGAACTTTATTTTGACCTATGAACTATTATGCGTCATTGATCTGATCGATAATTCATTGCTCTCTAATTGGCGGTATCATTACGTTATACATTAACAGGGCACACAGGTCACAAGTTATAACAGTGTTATATCTCCGAACTCACACCATCAACAATCAAGAACATTGATTATTCATAGATAATTGATCTACATTTAATTGTGTAATCTTTTTCAATTCAATAAATTCGTAGCAAATTCATGAAATTTTCTGAATACTATACTACTGCACTATAAAATTGTATAGTATGTTTCACTAATATTGTTTATTGTATAAAGTTGTAATCTGTTACATAAAATTTAGTTACATGTGATTACTTCGTAACTCCGCCTGGAGTCCCTGCGGGGGCTACTGCCGGTCCCAAGCCCAGACAAAGGAGGAGGGTTGGGCATGGGGTTAGTGATCCCATCCCGTAGAAAACTAACTCGCTAAAAAAACGCTAATCAGTGATTACTTTGTATTTGAGGAAAACAACTAAATTACCAATTATCTTTATCTTCTTTTTATTATGATTCCTTGTATAGGCACCATGTATGATGTGCATTAAATTAGCAGTTGAAGAACGAAGAATTTTCAGGCGAACACTATAACCATCAGTCTATAATTCTTTTAATATACAAGAACTTGATGACGAATTTATTAAAGATGATTGTTCATTCAAACATGTTTTTTTTTTAAATTTGTAAATACTCTGTAGGGATCATTAAATCGTTAAGTAAGAATTAGAAATAGGGATTTTATTACACTTCACTAATTAGGTGAAAGTCAGTATTATTAACATTTTTTGCTTATTCATTAAGTTCTTTCATCATTGGTTCGTTTACAGCTCGATATTTGTCCTTTCATTGTAATATCACTTTTTTTTGGAATTAATTAGATGTTTCATTGGTTGACTAGTTGAATCAGGTGATGGATTTTCTTTATCATTGAATACTTTTACTTTTGGTGTTGTTACTGTTGTTTTTGACTGCGAATCATTTATGAAGTGCTTAAAATAGCACTTATCACCATATGAACAGTTACCAGTGGTTGAATAATTTCGACATACTTGACTACGAAATTTTGGATGGGATTTCGGATCTCGCAGTTCTATTATACCATGTGCAAAATGGCATCTTATTCCAGCTGGACAATAACCATCATGTTCTTGAAAATATCTGCATACTTGTGTTTTGTAGCGTATGTTGAATAATGAGTCGTTCTTACTTTTTGAATTATCTGATGGAACCTAGACCGGTAAAAAGGAAATTATAGTTTTGATTTTTAGTCTCAATGTGGTAAGGAGTCTAACAGTCTACAAAAATAAGCAAATCGATTTGAAAACAAACTCATATTGGTTTATCTTTGTGGAAAGTATGATCGTAGTTGTTAAGAATATCCATAGATCAACATATGGACATTGAATAAAGGTTCGCTCACAGGCATCTGAGGGATTTCAAAATCTCCATAAATCAGAATTTGAACGCATACTTTTGTCTTCATAGGCCCCTGCTATGTGAAGCAACGGCCATTTTACATGTATTACTTGTAGAGTTGACATTCATAGAACGTGTTTTTAGTTATCTCGGTGATACAGGATCTGTAGTAAGTTTCCTGTTGATCTTTTTTATGGATTGTAGTCATGAAGGTGGTATTTGGACAAATATATTTGATCGAGATACCAACTTTAAAATCTTTGGTAGACTAGTGAAGGTCAGAAACCATTACTGTTTCCACATGCTCCCCTTATCCTTGTCTTACATTAGCGTAGACAGTCGAATGTTCATCTTACTCTCGACCGTCATTGTAGCATATTTAAAGCCTACTTACTGCGAGATTTATTCGTTACTTTCTAAAGAATATATTTGGCTATTATTTATTTTCGACCAAAGTTCTATTTTAAACATCAGTACCCTATGAAAAAATTAGGCTGCAATAAAAAATATTAAAGCTGATCCTAAACAATTCGCAAGAAGTTAAAATTACCGCATACTCATTTGATGATTTACACATGTTCTAAAGGTTATTGTTTATTTTTCCATTAGCTCCAAGATCCGATCGCTTTGATAAAACGAAAACAACTGGTCCTTGAAACTTTACAAGAAATGCTTATCATGTCATCAATAATGAAGTTTCAGAAATTTGCCTCTGTAGCATTATTTTTCAACCTCGAGTTTTGATTGATCAGTAGGAAGAAGGTCCTCATATTTTGCAAACGATGAATCGAATATGGTGTTCGCTGAACGTAAACCTTGGCTAAGATACACAGTTTATGAGAGGTTGCCTCAGTAACTCAAAAGTTTTGCAAATTCATTCGATTATGTTTTTCTGATCCGAATAAGGGAGAATATAAGTATGCCAAGTTAGTAGTGTTTCTCGAATACACCAAAACATTGACTTAGTGGATGTTTAGGGCCTTTTAAAATATCAATAGAAACTTGACAGCAATCTAGTTGGGTCACTTACTGGTTAAATATTTTAAAAAGTTCCTATTGGAGAAAAACAGTTATATTTATGGATCAAAGTTATTCAAAAGGCTATCTGAATCAGGCGTAGTTACACATTTATTCTCACCTAGAGCAGGACTTCTTCTAGACTAGGACGTCAGTCATATTTGAAATAACGCGAAAATGTGTAAAACCTCGACAAGGAACTCAAATTGCTGAGTCTAATGCCTATAGATTAATAAAACTGTGCATAACCAAAATGTCAAAAATAAAATCGCCACAGAAAGACAAAAAGATATTATTTTTCTAATATTTCACTGGTTCTCGTCTATTTGTGATATCAGAACGAGTTCGAATATGAAAACCTTAGTTTTGTCTAATGCTCTAAGTGCACTGTTTGAACTACTATTTCACAAAGTAAAATTTCCAATTTGTTACCGATTTCCCACATTACCTCATACTCAACTTCAGACATAATAGGAAATTCGCTCTTTTAAACAAGAAATACGCAAGATCAACCTCTATTTTCCACTCCCTCATACAATTCCAAACCCTGTCTGAATTGCGTACTAAATCATATAGGCTAATAGTTCAGCTCGCCTTATCTCTCTCTCTCTTTCTCTTACTGTGTCTCTTATAATTCTGTTCAGTTCTTGATATTTTGTTGAAGTTAATCTATTTTCATTGATCATTAAATATTTATCGTCTACAAAGTTGAATCATCGAATATTGGATCATCAGAACACTTGGAGTATTCGTTAACTGAATCACTTCATCATATCTTGAGTTTCTGATTCAGTTATCTTGAAACACTGTTAACATTTTATATCAGTGATTTTTTGTTAGTTAGTACTGTTGATAGATACAATTTTCACTACTGAACAGTAAACTAACTTCCTTGTGACGTTAAGTTAATTAGACCAGTTATATCTTAGAATTCTGTTACTGATTTAATTAGTTTTATTCAATTTTTATCAATTTATTTCAACTACATGAAATTTATGATTGACTTTGGCTTACATAATAAAATTAAAGTATTGAGATTAGATGGTGGTTGGAGGTAGTCGATAGGAAACCCTGGACCCGGGTTTCATGCTAGTCGGCACTCGTTAGCAAGGTGTACCTGTAATCTTGAAGGAACTGGTGCTCCCTGGCGGATCGGATTCCGTGTAACCCAGCTTTACAGTCAGAAACGTTACCACTGAGCTATCCGCGTCGCGACTGACCTCCTGTAGGACTGAGATGTAATCACAATTGATTGATCACTGGGTGGTGATCAATGTCATGTGTGTCAAGTCCTTATTTAGTGCAGATCGAATGCTATCGACCTGTCGACTACCTCCAACCACCATCTAATCTCAATATATAGTGCACGCAGTGTCGAGTCACCTAGACTGGTGGCCATACTGCAACATGGTCGATAGCATTCGATGTGCACTAATAATAAGGACTTGATACACATGACATTGATCACCACCCAGTGATCAATCAATTGTGAAAATTAAAGTATATTTACACAAAGATAGTTATTATGAAATAATAAATCAATAAAATGACAGATTACTCTCATTATTTATCTAGGATAGTTCTTTCTATCAAATTAGATGAGATTCACTTGATGTTGTTTGGCTTGTATCTTCCCATTGAGGTTTAAGACTGCAATTGATCAGTCTGTTATTGGCATATGTACATACTGTGTGTATGCCTCGATATTGCCTCGATTCACAAGCTTCTTATAAGCAATGATGGATAGTGGCTAGCAGTGGAATTCAGGATGCGCGTTTCGTCCTATCTGAGACTCGTCAGCTGAATGTACCTGCATCTCAGAGTTGATGTTCACTCTGGGACTCGAACCCAGTACCATTCGCCTCAAACGCCATCGCGTTATTAGATAAGAGATGTTTCATTTGTTTATCATCAGATTATCATAATAATGATCCACTACTTTAAACTTGTTCAATTTCTTACCATAAAAAAGGAGAAAAAAAAGAATGATAAAACTTTTGTTTAAAAACTGATCAAAATATTCTTCATAGATAAAATCAGAAAATCCATTTGTAAAATTCTACAATGATAATCATTAATCTATTTCTACTTACTTTATTTAATGTTTTCCTATCAACATAATAAGCTGAAATTGGTTTTGTTTGTATAATGTAATTTGATTTAAAATGATTTACTTCTGATAAATCATTGGTTAACTCGAATGGTGATATATTTATAATATTTAATGAACGATCTGATGAAAATAATTGATCTTGTTGATAATGAAGATGATGATGATAATAATAATCATTTATTGAAAATGATGAACTTTGAATAGGACATAATGTTGTACTGGATGATGAGATTGATGGTGATGATGAAAATGTGGGGAACTGATATTCCGATGGAATTCTATTAACATTTAAGCTAAAATCAGATGTATCATTATTAATTTTATGTTGAATAGAAAATTCATCTGATTTATTCAATAAACTTATTGATCTATCACATTTATTAAGCAATTTCAGAAGGTTAGATTTCTCTTCACAATCAGGAAAATCTTTCAATGTATACTTAACAAATAGTTTTGCATGTTTTAAATATCCATAAGTTTCAATATAGTTCTCATATAATTCCATTAATACACGTTTAGAATGAATCAACTGACATGAATCAGATGATGACGATAATGATGACGACGATGATGACGATGATGAGGATGGTGATGATGATACTAAGGATGAATAGTCATTTATTTCACTATTAGTGGTTGTGTTAACAGTAGTACTTTTACTGCAATTATAATTTGACTCATTTTCATTAGGTTTATGTTTACTTTTTTTCATTAAGTAAAGAAATAATTTAGTCATGGGTAGTAAAACCAATTTTTCAATGATAAATGGATCTTTTATAATGAATTTAACATCAGAATAAGTAGTTTTTAAATAAAATCCGGTGAAGCATTTGTCAGTACGTTGATTGATATTAGTATTTTTTGTTGTAGAAATAGTAACATCAGAGCTAATGACACTATTATTATCATCATCATCAAAAGATTGAATCTTCGATTCACTATCTTCTGTTTTCAAATTCATTATAGGTATTTGTAGATGAGAATTTTTTTGTTTCTTCTTTGATTTTGACAAAAATGAAGTTGATGGTAAAATGGTTTGATCATTAAGTACTGGACTATCCAATAAATTTCTTGGTAATAAAGTTGCAATTGTAGGACTTAGATTTTCATGACTGTTAAAATAATAACCAGTACTACTACTAATAGTGTCGTCAATATTAAGACTATCAGAGCTAATGTTACACTTTGATTTTGATTTCATAATTTGGCTCATTGGTTTTCATTGTTAAGTAGTGTTTAGATTATATTTATAATTTGCGGGTAGAACTATAAAAAATCACATGTTAGCTTTTGCGAACATTTTCTAGTACAAATAGCATGCTATGAAACTTATCATCTATATATTAACTAGTAAATAAGGTCACTAATTATGAATATGATTAAAAAAACTCTGAGTGGAACTGTTAATTGATTATTTCTAAGTTTTCTTTAGAATTGCGCTGAATAACGAAATAAAAAGCGAGTCATAGGCTATAAATATGCCGTGCTTATTACAGATTAAACTAACACATGGTTACTATTAGTCGATAAAATACGTATTTCAATTTGATAGTTATCATGTGCATCCAATAATGTTTTTAATGTTTTACTACTTAATATTTGTAAGTAAGCTAATTTTATAATGAAATTAAAAAGGTTGAAATGAAAGACCGAAAGAAGATCCGATGTACTTGTCAGAAGAACCCAGAATCACATCATTAACATTAATTGTGGCTAGGTGTTATTATGAAAAATTTAGATGTCATAAAGCATACTTCTGATAAAAGTAAGTTAAAGTATACAATTACAGAAATAGCATGACTGAAAACTCCTGAAAGTTTTTTCAATTTACATGAAGCGGGGAGTCAATAAAAAACTAAACCTAATCATACGAAGGAGGTTCATCTGTTATGCGAATTGCAGAATTGCATTCATATGCTTATGAGATCTTAACTCTGTTTCCGACTAAAAAGTGTATTATATAAACAAGCAGTATCACATTACTAAAAACAGCTTAAATTGCCGTATATAGTTTTGCTCGGTAAATTAATTCTACACATTTTAGCTTTTCCTTCTCTGAACTAAATCCTTGCGAATTCCGATTTGACTGTCACTTCCAATGATAGCACAAAATCCATTGAGTAAAACTAAATTTTGAAAGAGATAAAGTACCAATTTTAAAAAAGGTTGTATGATAATGTAAATCGTACACAATAAATTACCGCAAATATGGGCAGTGTATAGTTGTACTGAATGTACACATTTTTATATTATTATTAGGATCAACAAAATTCTAGACGGAAGCAGAGAAAGATAACTTTATTCTTATAGTTCTTCTTTCATCATCCAGGCCTTATGATATTATGTTTAAAAGAAACAATGAAACTACTTAACCTTCATCAGATATAAGTACTGATGTGAGGGTTTAATATGGCTGCAAGAAGATATTTTAATTCATTCGAATAGATCACCAGTAATACATGTGTATTTACTCAACATTTTACTACAAAAACTTCATATCTTATCACTTTAGTTTTTGTAGCTGCTATTTAGCAAATTCGTTTACTAGCCCTACTTCTACATTTTATTATGATAATCATTAACCCAAATCAGTGCATTACTGAACCAGTCGATAAATTACAGTTCTATTTTAACAATAAAGAAATTAAAGGTAACTAACGTTGAATTCCCTTTTTGTCATTCTTAAAATAATCAATATTGTCCAATAACACAGTCCTAAATACTTCCTAAATGTACAATTGGTGCTAATTAATATATCAAATAATTGGAACGTACAAATTATGCAAATCCGGTTTTTAACTTATACTAAAACGAAATTCGAATATCATTATATATAACATTATATATTTCACATTTTTATACTCAGAACATAATCTACAAGTATCAAAGCTAACAACATAGAAATACCCAACAAAATTTTGACTCCTTTCGCTCAATCTCGTGAATTAGTTGAAATTGGACATTAACATCTTTGGATGCCGGTTCAGTGGTCTAGAGGTTAAGCACTGATAGGTTCTGGGTTCGAATCTCGCAAGGTGGGATCGTGGATGCGCACTGATGTTGCGCATGCAAAATTCTAGTTAACTTTTCATTAATTAATTGTTCATTTTATAAAACTAATTAACTAAATAATGGTGACAATTATAATGTAACTTCTTATTATGTTATTTATTCACAGAAGTAATTAAAAATAAATTAAGTTTAACATCTTAATTACATTTGAGATTGAATGTAATACCAGTTATTTTATATATCTGTCAAAAATGATGGACTGAAATTCAAATATACTTACTCACTTCTGTTATTCCTCGTGGAGGAGTGTAGGCCGCCCACTGGCACTCTCCACCAAACCCTGTCCTGGGAAATCTTTTCCAGCTCTTTCCAATTGTTATTGATCCTTTTCATATCTGACTCTATTTCCCGATGTAATATGTTCTTTGGACCTCCTCTTTTCCGCTTCCCTTCAGGATTCCAAGTTACGGCTTGACTCGTGATGCAGTTTGGTGATTTCCGTAGTATATCACCTATCCATTTCCATCGTCTTTTCGAAGATTCCTCCTCAGTCGCAAGCTGGTTTGTTCTCTCCTACAAAAGGCTGTTGCTGATAGTATCCGGCCAACGGATATTGAATATCTTGCTTAGACATCTATTTATAAATACTTGTATATTCTTTATGATGGTTGTAGTAGTTCTCTACGTTTCAATTGAACTAAAGTGATATTAGTATTTTTGAAAACTAAGTTCATATTTCCTGAAATAATTAACAACTAAATTTTTTATGGAACCTGAATATTAACTAGACTGTAGGATCTATAATTGTTGTTACTATCAGGACTTAATCGGGGGCTGTACCAACTTAATTAAATAAGTGATCAAACATAACTGTCAGTTCATCTTTTCTGTGAAATTCCAAAAGCTTTAAAGCTTGACTCATTATCTGTTAAGGAGTGAAGTCTCATCAGTCCTGATGAGTATGTGATTGACGAGATCTCGACAGGGATTCCGAAAGCTCGATTGGCCTTGTCCGGATCGCGTTACTTGTAACTTAGGCGAGGTGTTCGTCTCCCAATCAAAGGACGAAATTGCTGATCAACAATTCTACTTTATGAGTGTGAAGAACAACCACTAAAGATAGAAAACATTCTTAAACTACTAGAACTCAATCATAGGTGTCTTCGAAGTACTGCCCACGTACTTTGAGACTACCGTAGTTAGGTATATGGTGCAATGCAAAGGTAGGAAATCGGTTGATAGGTTTGAAAATCATCGTCAACCGAGATGATTGGAACATGTATTATGTATGCTAAATCATAGCCCATATGAACGGGTGATATTATCTGGTGTCGGATTGGGTTATTGAAATGCTAAGGATGACCAAACCAAAACGTGGCTTCAGGCCATGAAGCCATTGACTGTTGGTCGGAGCTACAAGGATAAACACAGACTATCTGGTTGTGGTGACTGTGATAATTCCAACCAACGGTTGGAGACTCTGAGTGATGTAGCTAGAGATCGTTCGTAATGGTGCAGATTCACATACTTTTAATCCTCTTGATTCTAAAAATCCCAGTATTCCTTTCAACATACCCTTCCACTCTTTTTGAACCATATTCTTGATGTTCAGTTTTTTCCATAATCGCTACCACATGACTTCAATCTCATTTGTAATTTATTTCCTTAAGTTCATCCCACCGTGTTAATGTATTATGGAAACTTGGATTAAGATACATCCGTGTTACGGTCTAAATTAATGATAACTGACTTACATTAATGTCCAAAATCAATTCTAGTACAGTACAAGTTAAAAAGTGAATTTGCATAGTTTGTACGTTCCATTCATTTAATATATTAATTAATATCCACTATATATTTAATAAGTATTAAAACCGTGTTATTGGACAATATTGATTATTTTAAGAATAACAAAAAGGGGATTCAAATTTAGTTAACTTTAATTTTAGGGAAGAAGTGGCTAACTAATATTTAGAAATCCTTCTCATTTGATATACTCAAAAGTTTATTTTTTGGTCGTGTCGGTAGATGCAAACCACCTGGTTGTGGATCGTGGTAACTAGGACCAGTGGTTAGAGATTTGTGTGGTATTACTCATAGTCAATAATAAATATATTTTTTGTTATATACCAATCAGTAGAAAAATTGTATTTCTGATGTTTCGTGACTTAATGTAAGGCACTTCTTCAAGGCAAACAAACAATAGAAACTAAATTAGTACAACTTTAAACAGTACAAAGGAAACATTGTCAATTTTGATTATTTATTTACTCTGAAGAAGTGGCTTACATTAAATCACGGAACGTCAGAAATACAATTCTTCTACTTATTGGGATACAACAGAAAAATTCTCTACCCAATGCTCAATTTTTTCGAAACTATCGAGTCCAACCTTGGTATTGATACCTATGAATCAGAGTCGTTTATAATGGTGCAGGTGCATCTATTCTCTGTTCTCCTTTAGATTCTAGGTCCAAAAGTTGTACAAACGTTTTCCTTTCTATGGCTACTCTCAAATCCAGCTACTGATATTGTTACTACTTCGACTTCTCTGGGATTTGTCTTGACTTTATCTCATTGTGCTAATGAAATGTGAAAACTTGAACCGATATATATGTGCTTCAGATCCTACGTTGCATATGACTGAGAATTTATGATATTACAACTCAGAGTGGCGAGCTTTATGTACTACACCGGACATAACCACTAAGTTCTTGCAGCTTGATCATACCAATCATTTTTGTAATTGCTTGTTCAATTGACAGCTTTCATGTTAATTTACATATCGACATATTGAGTTTTATGCATTACGCTAAACGTGATCTATACATGTTGAGACTGAACCCTTGGAAAACAGATCGGAAGTCGCTGGACGGCTTTCTCAGTGCTGATTCATAGTACCGAAACCAAATTCCAAGATTCTCGATGAAATCTCCCAAATGACAGATATGAATCACAGCACACTGAAATACCAAGTTACTTAACTTAGTATACAGAGCGCCTAGTCATTAGGATGTGATGAGCTTTGACATCAGTCAGTCAACTACAACATAGGACCAGGCACATATATGCATCGGTCCAAGATTTCATACCGCATTAGCACAGCAAGATGAACACCGGATTCATAGAAGTAGTTAATTCAATGGTGGTAATACATATAAGAAAGATTGCATATAAGGATATAGTACAGGAAGAAAGAAAGATATGAAGGAATTTTAATCTCATAGTTTAGGGGAAGACATAGTGTATACACCTACGCTATTGTGATCGATTCTGAGCCATTTCACCAAGA